GTATTTGAGTTTGCATTAATAAACCTGACACACACATCCATTTATTTCCATCAAATGTATTGACATCCATTCATTTTAGCTGATTTCAGTTGCTAATTCGGGTGAAAAATGTTTTGTTAAAACTGAGTAACTGTTTATTTTTATTTATTAAACATGTTCTAATCTCTTCTTTAAGCGCAGAGGTGTGGATAGATTTTATTSTACATGTTCCGAACAGAACCAGACATCTGCAGTGTTTAGCATCTTATTGGCTTTATTGCTGATAAATGATTAATAATTTCTTTGTAACCGTGTTGATTTATTGGGGCATGACTGTTTAATCAGCTGACTGCTCAGGTTCAGTGTCTCCAGCTGTTGTATAATTCAAATAATAAAAAAAMCACACAGAATCTAGATGAAATATGAAAATATTTATGGGAATGTTTTCATATTCAATACATTCGTCTCAATCAGAAGTGTTTGCTGTAAACAGCCTTGTTTTGAATTAAAACCTYGTCTTTCCTCCCAAATGAAGCAGTTTTGTGGGTTTTTTCTTAAAGTTTCCCAGTGTGTTGACCTTTGAACACACAATCACATTTTCTGTAGCTTYTTATCAAGATTTAGTAAGTTTTTATTTTACCAATAGTAACAAAAAAAGAAGCCATATTTCAGATAAGGTCAATAATTTAAACCTTTTGTTACGACACACAGCAGGACTGTGATAGTCGACTAAAATCAACTAAAACCTCAAATTTATCAGTTTTTTATCACAACAAAACAAATCAGGTTTAAACAGGAAACCATCAGAGGAAGAATTAACATTTGAATTTCTATTTTTCTTCAAAACTAATTCAGTGCAACACACAGATACAGCTCTGGTAAACAGCTTAAAGGGATAGTTTTATTGTTTTGAGGCGTAGCAGCTACGATCAGTCAGTATCTTACCTGCATCAGACAAAATGAAGTCGTCTCAGTTTGGAGAGTTGAAAGTCAATTAGAGCAGAAACCAGTTAACCTAAACTTTTTTAATGGTTCACACACGGACTATTTTCTGTATATTTACATTTTAAATTGCAGGACATTGTTGTTTACTTTGTTAGCATTTTTTCTACGCTCGTGTTGCTAAGTGGAACTGTGTGCATAGGGGCTATTACACAAAAACAACCTTTTATTTAAGTTTGTTTTGGCCTAGAATCAAATATTTTGCCCTATGGTAACAAAACATAATGCATATAAATGCCTTTGCACTTTAATGGCTTTGCTATTCTTTTCTGAAGTGAAGATTTGTTGCATTTTTTACAGTTTTGTCAAGTCTTAAACAGAAAACCTTGCTTGAACGGTTTTAGTTTTGGAGGAAATTCATTCCTGTTAGCTTCAYGTCATCATGAGAAATTCTTCCCGACCCTCTCCAAACTGAGATCGCTCCGACTGCAGTCTGCTGCAGATGAGACACTGACTGCTCGCAACTCCACGCAGCCTCACTTAAAATAAAACCACCCCTGTAAAAGGTAAAGCAGGTGTTCTTGGACCAAAAGGACTCTGAAACGTTTCAAAGCGTAGGCATCACATGGCTAAAAACTGAATCCACGATAACCTGACATTCTGCACTTTCCTGRTATGGCTCAGAGGAAGGATTCAGTCAGTGAACAACAAGGTGCAACAGATCCAACAAACACTGAACTATAGTGGTGTGAAAACACTGTCCATCCTGCCACCTCGCTGAGACGATCAGGGGAAAGGGAYGGCTAACAGGAAACCAGAGTGAATCTCGCTTATGGCAAAGCTCCAGCTACATCCTGGGCAGGGTAAAAACAGTGCAAAACAAAATCTAAACCAGCTACGAGTCTGCAGAGACGACCACAAATAAATAGTTTGGCGAAGTCCATATTTGTTTACTTGGTGCTACTTAAAATGAAAAATGTTAACTCCTGCAGGAATATTCAGTGCAACTAAAAAACAGTAAACATCAGAGGTGAAGGAGAATTCAACAATGATTTGGCCTCTTCTTAAACTCTCCATTGTTTTTGTGCTTGGACTGGAATATAAACTGTGGGAAGTAAAGCGTCAGCCGTCATGTGACGGCAGTTTCCTTTGTTTTACAGCTTTATGGTTGCTTTAAATTGCCTGTGACATGATATTTTTGTARTAAATATGAATGCTGTGTTGGWAAGGTAACACTAATAGCATATTGCAAAAGAAATTTCACGCCACTGAAATGAACGGTTGTTGAGATATTTGCCTGTAAATTTACAGGAAGTGACAACAAAGAGGAACTTCTGAATGTAAACAGAGCGTTGCTATAATGGCTAAAAACAGACTGTAGAGAAGAATCTGAGGTTTCTTTAGATTATTTTGAGTTCTTATCAGAGATGAAGAAAAGACAGAGTTTAAATAAAATTGTTTCAATTAACAAAAAGCAAAGCGTTATGTTTGTCAGTGTTCCCCTTTGATGTCACTTCCTGTTTCATTTAGGCCAGGGGTGGGCAATCCTGGCCCTCGAGGGCCGCAGCCCTACAGGTTTTATGTTTTTTTTCCCTGCTCCAACGCAACTGATTCAGACATTGAATTACCTTGTCCAAGTTCTGCAGTATGGACGACCGACACTGACATAACTAGAAAATAAACATAAATATATATATGGACCCAATAAATAAA